ATTTGGCGCATCATTGTGCTATATGTGCTGCGACGTCTTTGACATCAGCCGAGACGAGCCCAATATTCTCTATCGAACAGAGCGGGGATGGTTTGGGGGTATGGTTGGGGGGTGGTGGAGGACAGCACAGCAGCGTACTGGCCCCGTGGACGACCAGGAGCGGCCCTGCCAATTCAAGCTCAGCAGCGTCCGAGTACAACTCGTTGCATCGTAGTTTATAAACTAGGACAGACAGTACCGTCTGCGCCAGCCTCACACTCAGCCGCAGCCGCTACCAGCTGATATGTTAAACTTGAGCACAGCGGTGACACAAGCTTAGGCCAGCCATTTCGCAGGTGCGAGCCTCAGTACTTTTCCTGAGCGTAGTTCAGCACAGCCCAGTACCGCCACAGCTTAGGCCAGCCATTACGCATGCTCCAGCCTCTTTACGCAGATGATCGGGCAGGGAGGGACTGGATTACAAGAGGGCGGGCGAGGGGATCAGGACAGATTGACCCGACACAGGCGAGCCAATTTTAGCCTGGCAAGCCTCGCAGTGCTCATCGCCACCTTTGCCATATTTTAGGTATTGCCTGTTCCTCGATGTTCAAGTCACTCGAATGGGAACGGCTGAAGGTTGGGGCGATTACTCAGGAGGGAGAGGGGCACACAGCATTATATCGGGCCCCTCTCGACTACAAGGTGTGGCCCCGCCGCCTTTTTTGCTGTCAGACAAGTACAGCGCTTCGTGGCCCCATAGGGAGCTAGCTCCACCGAAGCCCCCACTGGCGGTCCGCCCCGGAAACCAAATTTGGCATTTTCACCCACCCAGAACAGCGCTTCGTGGCCCCACACAGAGCCCCACCGAAGCCCCCAGTGGGACCGCCCGCATGCGTCCCAGAAACCAACTTTGGCATGTTTCACCCACCCAGTACAGCGCCTCGCTGCCCCACAGAGAGTTCCACCGAAGCCCCCAGTGGGACCGCCCGCATGCGTCCCAGAAACCAAATTTGGCATTTTCACCCACCAAGTACAGCGCTTCGTTGCCCCACAGAGAGCTCCACCGAAGCCGCGAGTGGGACCGCCCGCATGCGCCCCAGAAACCAAATTTGGCGTTTTCATCCACCCAGTACAGCGCTTCGTGGCCCCACACAGCCCCAGGAGGCACAACTTATTGCTTACCCAAAGGTTTGTTAAGGATTTCCATGTTCTCGCCTGTTCAAATTCCCGACGTTCCAACGGTCCAAGAGGTCATAGTGTCCGCTCCAAGACAGTTCCAGAGGCCTCGAAGACGGCACCAAAACGGCCCAAGAGGGCCCCAAGACGGCGCCAGAGGCGCACAGGACGGCCCGAGAGGGCCCTATGGAGCTCCACCGAAGGCCCCAACAGGGGTGCCCGCATGCGTCCGCCACACCCAGTACAGCGCTTCGTGGCCCCATAGGGACCTCCACCGAAGGTCTCAACTGCGCAGCCCAAATGCGTCCCACCCACCGAGTACAGCGCTTCGTGGCCCCATGGGGAGCTCCGACGAAGGCCCCAGAGGCGCAGCCCGCATGAGTTTCCCCCACCCAGAACAGCGCTTCGTGGCCACTCCACCGAAGGTCTCAACTATGCAGCCCGCATGCGTCTCACCCACCGAGTACAGCGCCTCTTGGCCCCATAGGGAGCTCCGACGAAGGTCCCAGTGGCGCAGCACGCATGCGTCTCCCCAACCAGTGCAGCGTTTCGTGGCCCCATAGGAAGCTCCACCGAAGGTCTCAATTGTGCAGCCCGCATGCGTCCCCCCCACACAGTACAGAGTTTCGTGGCCCTACAAGGGGGCCCCACCGAAGGCTCCAGTGGCGTAGTCCGCATGCGTCTCCCCCACCCAGTACAGCGTTTCGTGGCCCTACAAGGGGACTCCACCGAAGACGATGCCTACAACAGCGGTACTCACAACTGCATATGGTTGGGTCCTTCGCCAGGCCAATTCAAATTCACCCCCCGTTTATTTTGGCATATCAGACCAGTATTAAGGCCCCCGTCACCATCGAAGAAAGATCCCAGGAAACCTTCGAGGGCCCCAAATCATCGAGCACCTAAGGAAAATTGATGATTGTGTGGCTTCCGCATTCCCCCGTCGATACGCTTCCTAGGCTTGCGCAGGGATTCCAACAAGTTCGGCAAATGCACAAGGCGTTTCAACAATTTAGATTCCTTGCGTTAGCTTTTTTCTGGCCTAGCTAGACCTTGAGCGCGCGCGGTGGTTATAGTACATATGTGTGTACATCTATATATATATATATATATGTATGTACATGTATATATATATATATATATATATACAAATTTGTATATATATATATATACATCTATACATGTATATATGCGCGTTGCGCAACCCAAGTGGCGCGATCTAAGGTGCAATGCATGCGGTGCGCAAAATATGTTGTGCAATATGCGTGGTGCAATGTACGTGGTACACTTGAGTTCGACTTCTTCGCGTGTGACCACCTCCCAAGCTCGCGCAGTTATCCCACCCACCCACCCTCAACTTGGTTTGCAAAACCCACGCGGCGGCGATTGCGATGGCTGCTTGGCACTAGCTGGTGCGTCGCTGCGGCGGCGCTAACTCGCGCATGTTCGCGAGCAGAGCGGCCAGCTAGCCTTGCGCGACCGACGCGTCCGCCGTGGCGCTAGCCGGTGGGAACTTCCCAGCGCGTCTCGCAGGCCGCGCTGACGCGCGGGCAAATCGATGCGAGTCGGTGACTCGGGCGGGCGCTGTACAATGGCGACGTCGACAACGGTAGACACGATGATGACAATGTTGGCGATGTTGGTGACGAAGGTGACAATGACGACGACAAGGACAATGACGGCGCCGATGCTGATCATGCCGATGACGATGATGGGGTCCTCGCGTCAGTGATGAAGGTTATGGAAGGAATTCGGCATGCGCGCGGGGTCGGCACGCGCGAGGGACCCGCATTGTATTATTTGACAGGGATTGCGCCTCCCCCCACACGCGCGCGAGGGCGTTCCAAAGATTTCGACATGCGCGCGCGAGAGGCACGGTAGCATTTGATGAAAGTGTTGAAAAAAACGATGTTGTTCTTAAGAACCCGCAAACGCGCGAGCGCAGGATTGTTTGAGACTTCTTATTGCGAACCACTTGTTGTTTATACGGTCGTGGGGCATTCGATTTTGAAGTCCTTTCGACATCTGCCGTTTCGGGATGATTCCGACATGCGCGCGCGACGACGCGCGCGCGCGTTCTTCGTCCCACTTGTTACAAGGGTTTTTTTGCGACAGCACGCGCGCAAGGGCGTTCGAATGATTACGACATGCGCGCGCGAGATGCTCGTCTGGTCGCACTTGATGAAAGTTGGGAAGGCCCATAGTTTTCAAGAATTCGCAAGAGCGCAAGCGTAGCTGCTAGGGGAAATAGTTGCGGTACCACTGGTTGTTTCTATGTGTTCGGGACCTTCGATGTCGAAAGCCGTGCGATATCAGAAGTTGTTGAAGGATTGTCGGATGCGCGCGCGACGACGCGCGCGTGCGCAGTTCGTCCCGAGTTTTGCATGGGACGATTGACCAAGATATTCGAAGATGGCGAAGTGTGAGCGCATGGTGTTGGTTTACAAAAGATGGTGGGGGGGTCGATGGCGTCTTGGCTGGGATCAAATGAGTTTTGAAAATGAAACAATTGGGCAGAGACATATGTGAACTGCGTTTCGGGGGGTGGTCGCTTGCAGTTTGTTCGTCCACTGGAGAATCGATGTGGTGCCATATACACGCGGTGCGCAGTACATGGTGTGCAATGATACATATATATATATATATACGGGGGGCAACCTATGTGGTGCAATCTACGCTGTGCAATCCAACGGCGGCGCCGAGGCTGCGACGGGGCGGACACGGCGACAACATAGCCGCTAGACCGCCACACCGGCCCAAACGACGGGCGACGACGAGGCGGCGACGGGGCGGCGACGGCGACAACATAACCGCCGGGCAAGAACCCCTAAGTGCAAGCACTGTTCGAGGAATGATTAGCCGAGCGTGTACATGCATGAGCATATACGAGGAGGCGGGGGGGTGCGCGAGTTGCCGCGGGCCCCGTAGGCCGAGTCACATTGTCGGCCCTGGCGGGGGCCATCTGAGACACTCCTGGGGCCCAGTCGGGCAACGTCGAGCCTCTTGGGGGCACATTGCAGCTTCTGGGGCCCTCGCGGTGGGAGCTCCCTTCAGGCCGCCGTGGGGGGGAAAGTCGAGCAATATCGGGCCGTCTCGGGCTCTTGGCTCCGTTTCGGGACATCTTGGGCTGCCCTGGAGGTTCTCCTGGTCGTTATGTGACGCCGCGGACTCCCCCTGTAAAAAGCATAGTGGAGACGACTGGGGCAACATGTATGCAGATATGTATACAACAACATGCATACATATATTCATACATACATGCATGCGGCATGCATACATACATACATGCAGACATACATACAGGTATGTATCTACGAGGCATGGAACAGGACGAGAGGGAGAGAGAGAGAGAGAGAGAGATAGAGAGAGAGAGAGAGAGAACGAGGACAAGAGACACCAGCAAGACAGCACTTCAGCAGGGAACCTCAGAGCCAGGTGTTCCCAGACTGGGGTCGGCGAGGTTGCGCTCGAGCCGATGGAGCAGAACGAGGCGAAGAAGGAGGTCGAGGTGGAAATCGATCAAGAGACCGAGTCAGAGAGAGAGAGAGAGACTTCGCAGCCGGAGGTTGAGTCTGCGACGCAAAAACCGAATCCAGTCGCCACTTGCTCCACCATCCATTATCTCCCACCTCCGCCTCCTCCTCCTCCTCCTCCTCCTCCTCCTCCTCATCCTCATCCTCCTCCTCCTCCTCCTCCTCCTCCTCCTCTCCTCCTCCTCCTCCGCCTCCTCCTCCTCCTCCTCCTCCTCCTCCTCCTCCTCCTCCTCCTCCGCCTCCTCCTCCTCCTCCTCGTGCACCTCCCTGCTGCGCCTCGTCCCCCGCCAGGCCACCAAGGGCCTCCGCTCCATGTACATCGGCGGCCTCGGGTCGATGAGGGCGGCGAGCAGCGAGGAGGCAACGGGCGGCACCGCGTGCCCAGGAGAGCGCTTTTGCGGAGCCAGGGGCGAGGACGATCGTCTCCTTCGTCCTCATCTCAGATCCAGGCGTCGCGACAGACTCACGGAGGGCGCTGTGAGTTCGTCTCGGGGCCCCAGGGTCCTCGCATCTCGATCTGGATCGGGGATATCCCAGTAAAGACGGGCTCGAAAACTCAGCTCGTGTTTGTCCACGACGTCGGGTCTCGGGATCCTCTTCACCTTGCCTCCCTTCCTCCACGTCCATCCCTGTTCCTTCTGGGCAACTCCCCCCTGTCGCACCCCGTGACGTGTGGGTAGGGCGGGACGGGCGTTTCGCTTGAGATCCCATCACAACGTATGACCACTCATCAGAAAAATGTGCAAGAGATTCACGGAGTGACGGCAGGCCGCTTTAAACATGTGGTTCTCGTTAGTGCCGCGCACATTCGTTTCAAAAGTTTGCAGGAGCTTCACGGATGGAGGGCGGATGCATTTAAAGATGTGATTATCGTTTTGGCGCCGTGCGCATTCTTTTAGAAATTATGACAGGGCTCCACGGCTGGAGGGCGGGCAGTGTTCAGGGCAGTGTCCAAAATGTGCTTCTCGTGCAGCAGGGATTCGTCTGTGAAGGTTGCAAGAACTTCCCAGATGGAGGGCGGGCGGTTTGCAAAACGTGGCTCGCGCCTTAGCGCCGCGCGCACTCGTCTTAGAAATGTGCTAAAGCTTCTACGATGAAAGGCGGGCGGTTTTCACAATGTGGTTCTCGCCATGGCGCCGCGCATAATCGCTTTGGAAGTTTGCAAGAGCTTCGCTGACGGAGAGCGGGTGGCTTCCGAGATGAGGCTCTCGCTCCAGCGCCGCGCACACTCGTCTCACAAGCTCGCAAGAGCTCCAGTGATGGAGGGCGGGTGGTTTTCAAAATGCGATTCGCGCCCCGGCGCCGCGCATATTCGTTTTTCGGGGATGGACAGAACCCCCAACAGTGACACGTCGATTAGTGAATTGTCCGTTTTCGGTTCTCGAGAGGGCGCCGTGGCCGTTCTTTTCCAGGCTTGCGCCCGCCAGGTTTGGGCCTCAGGTCGTTTTAACTAAACCACGTTTTACTAAAGGGGGGTCTGTCCATCCCCGAGTTTTAGAAGTTCGCAAGAGCTTCACTGATGGAGGGCGGGCGGCTTTCAAAATGTGTTTCTCGATTTAGCGCCGCGCAGAATCGTCTCAAAAGCTTCCAACCGCTTCAAAGATTCTCATGATTGACGTATCGGGAATAATGTTCCTGCGTGGTTTGCGCTTGGCACAGCACAACACGCACGTTGATTCGAGTTATTGAGATCCAAGGAATTGTGTTCTGGCGCGCTTCAAGATCGTCAGAACGCAGCAATAACATTGAGTCGCAGCGCTGAAATCCTGGTGGGAATTGTGTTTTGGCACGGTTGGGGATTCACTGTTGTCTTCCCACGGGGCATTTCCCACAGTGAAAATAATTTCTTATAGGGACCTCAGAAGGAGGAATTTGGAGGGAGGGCTTATTACAACATCGTTGATGCGTCTTGGATCTACTCTGGTCCTCCTCCTCCTCCTCCGCCTCCGGGCCGCCACCCCTTGATGTCCATTCTTGGGCCGCCCTGGGGCCCTCGCAGGGCCTTGTTGGGGCTGCCTTGGACCTCTGCGAGGGCGCGCTAGGGGGTCTTTAGGAAGTTCTGGAGCCTTTCAGGGCCCCACTTTGAGCCATCTTGGGCGATCTCGGAGCCATCTTTGTGGCTTCAAACAATTTCAAATTCATTATATAAATCAAAGTCGTTGATTGATGTTTGCCTCCTGGAGGCGCATTGGGGGTTGTATTTGATCCCCTCGGGGCCACGTCGGGTTTTTGTTGAGGTTGGCTTGGTGGCATATTGGGGCCTGCCGCCCATTGATTCGCTCTGCTGGGCTGCACCTGGACTTTCTTGGAGGTATCTTGTGACGATCCTTGAACTTCGGTGATGGCCGCGCCCACGAGCAAAGTCATCTCTGACCCAGGTTTACCCCAGGTTTCCCGGGCCGGGGGGGTCCCCGGAGGGTCGCGGGATTTTGCTGGAGTATTTTCTTCCGTGGATCCCAAGGGGCCACCACGCGCGTGCGAACTAGCAAACGCAAGTAATCGAAATCTCTTACCGGAGATTCCAGCACGCCCTTGGCTCAGCAGCCTTGAGACGGGGATCAATGCAAATGAAAATTAGCCAGAGCGCCAGATCTTACAGGATCCTGCAGAGCCAGGGGTGCACGGACCCGGGCTAGGGCGCTGGATCCTGCAAGATCTTGCAGGATCTTGCAAAGCCTGATTGACCCGGGTTTGCACTGACCTGGGTCAGAAGAAACCCGAATGGCCCGTTGGGCGGGCGAAGTCAGGCACTTCTGATTTGTCTGGCCGATTCTACCGAGGCGCTGGTTGTCGAAAGGGGGGGAGGAGCAGTAGCTCGAGGTGGAGAGGGGATGCGACGAGGGGTGACTGGAGGGGCGGGAGCGGGGGCAGAGGTGGAGCAGTGGCAGGGGCAGGAGGGGGAACCTAAGGGGGCGAGGGGCGGGAGAGGGGGAGAGGTCAGGAAATATGGAAAAAATAGGGGAAGCGGGGGGGGGAGACGAGCCTCGGGAAATGACTGGAAAAGAGGGGGAGTCCTGGGTTTGTTTCTACTTGTTTGTGTGTGTGGCCCCTGGGCCCCACTCAAGAGGGAGGGGCAGAGGAGGGGGGGAGACTGGGCGGCAGAGCCACGGTGCCGGCTAGTGGCCGCACTGGCGCGTTTTCTCGCGCGGTGCGCGCCCAGATCACCGACCTCGTGCCGGCTGCGGCGGCCAGAGGGCAGCTCGCGAGCGCGGAGGGCCCTCCTCCTGCGGGCCTCCGCGGCAGTTTTTTTCCCCCTATCAGGCCTTTGCGCTCGGCGTCGGGCCCTGGGGCCCTCACGGATCCCTCCGGCCCGAAGAGTGATGCAGAAACATGGGGCCCAGGGTTACGTCGGGCGTGTCCCCTTACAGGGGGATGTTCGACGAAAAATAAGAAATATTCCACAAATACCCCAAAAAGGTCAAAAAATATTCCAAAAATAGTCCCCAGACTATTTGGGGAGCATCTTTTTATTATTTAATCGCTTCGCTCATTGCGCCGGCCCATATTGTCGCACCGTTGTGGGCTAGCCGAGTTTTGGGGGCCGTTTTGGGGCCTCTTGGGGCCTCTTTTGGGCCTCTTGGGCGCCTCTTGGGGCGTCTTGGGGGCCTCTTGGGGGCCTCTTGGGGCCTTTTTGGGGCCTCCTGGGCGCCTTCTGGGGCGGAGGGCTCGATTTTTCAGTTCTCGGTTCCCCTCTTGAGCCCCTCTTGGGCCCGTCTTGGGGCCTCTTGGTCCGTCTTGGGCGGCACTTGGGCCGTCTGGGGGGCCCTCCTGGGCCGTTCCGGGGCCGTCTTGGGAGCCTCGTGGGCCGTCTTGGAGCGGTCTTGGGGGCCTCTTGGGCCGTCTTGGAGCGTCCGGAAGCCGAAAAAGCCAGAACACAAAAAACATCGAAAAAACAAATGAAAATCAACGATTTTGGCCTCTTGGGGCTCTCTTCGGAGGCCTCTTGAAAGGCTCTTGGGGCGTCTTGGAGGCCTCTTGGGCTGTCTTGGGGGCCTTTTGGGCCGTCTTGGGGTCATCTTCGGCGTCTTCGAGCGCTCTTTGGGCGTCTCGGGGGCCTCTTGGGCAGTCTTGGGGGCCTCTTGGGGCACTCTTGGCGCGCTCAGGGCGGCCTGAGAGGCCGCACCCAGAAGGAAAACCATCTCTGAGTTGAACCGGGCGGGACCTTCCCAGGCGGCGGGCGGGGTACTTTTCGCCGGGGGACCCCCAGGGGCCGCCCCGCGCGCGCGAACTAGTACAATACAATTGTTAACCAGTTACCGGAGATCTTAGCACGCCTCTGGCCCTTTGGGGAGCATCTTTTTATTATTTTTGGGGGGTATTTCCCTACCTAGGCTCTGCCTAAAAGGGTTCTTACTCTCTGGGCTGAAAGGGGCCGGGCAATGGAAAGCGCCCCGGGCGGTTCCCCCAGTATCCGCCCCGCGGTTCCCCCAGTTACGTCCCCTTAGCTTAGCGTCGCTTATCTCATCTTAGCTTAGCCTAGCTTAGCTTAGCTTACTTTAGTTTAGCTTTGCTTAGTTTAGCCTGGCCTAGCTTAGCTTAGCGTAGCTTAGCTTAGCCTAGCTTAGCTTAGCTTAGCTTAGCCCTGCTTAGCTTAGCTTAGCGCAGTATTAGCATAGCTTTGCATAGCATAGCATAGCAAAGCATGGCGCAGCATAACATAGCGCAGCATAGCATAACGCAGCATAGCATAGTATAGCATATAATAGCATAGCCTAGCATAGCGCAGCATAGCATAGCATAGCATAACACAGCGCAGCATAGCACAGCATAGCATAGCATAGCATAGCATAACACAGCATGGCGCATCACAGCATAGCATAGCATAGCGCAGCATAGCATAGCATTGCATTGCATAGCATAGCGTAGCATAGCATAGCATAGCGCAGCATAGCATAGCCTAGCATAGCCTAGCCTAGCATAGCATAGCGCAGCATAGCATACCACAGCCTAGCATAGCGCAGCATAGCATATCATAGCATGGCATAGCGCAGCATAGCATAGCATAGCATAGCCTAGCATAACATAGCGCAGTCTAGCATACCCCAGCATAGCATAGCATAGCATAGCGCAGCATAGCGCAGCATAGCATAGCATAGCATAGCACAGCATAGCATAGCGTAGCATAGCATAGCATAGCATAGCACGAAAGCAAAGGCAAAGCAACAGCAGCAACTGCAAAGCAAAGCAAAAGCAAAAGCAAAGGCAAAGGCAAAAGCAAAGGCAAGAGCAATAGCAAAGGCAATGCAGAGCAAAAGCAAAACCAATGCGAAAGTGTAGATGTAGATTTAGATGTAGGTGCAGGTGTAGATGTGGATGTAGGTGTAGATGTAGATGTACATGTAGGTGTAGGTGTAGATGTAGGTGTATATGTAGATGTAGATGTGAGTGTAGTTGTAGATGTAGATGTAGATGTAGATATAGATGCATGTG